CATGATCCAAGGACTCGCTGGGTTCACACTCTCCCTGTCCGGCCATATTACACAGAGCAACACATGTCCAGCAGGGACCCTGTGCAGGCTGTCTATACCAGACCTTACTCCACAAGCGAGGCAGGGCCATACTTTGCTCAAACACCACAGGCAAGAGCGTACTATGGGGAGGAACCTAGAGCATATCCCTGTCAGTCAAATGGCTCCAAGATGTTCTACAGCAAGCCGTACAACCCCCCAGCAGAACAGTATATTCCATACAGGGCGTATCACACGGAGGGCCGTCGACAACCACAAATGTCCCAGGCTTATGCAGATGACTGGTATCGTTCAAGTATATCTGGATACTCCAACCAGTCCTCTCAGCTGACACCACAGAGAGTAAGACAAGAGCCAGTAATGTCCCCCTGGTTTGCAAACAGTTATGTGGAGCCAACCAGACTAGTAGCAGAAGTCAGAAACCACTCCAAGTCCTGGGACAATATTCTTTATCCTTGTCATGACAGAGAGCAAGCAGTACCCCGTGGACGCAGCTATGAAAATCTGTTTTACCAGGGGAGACATGCTCTGTTTCCTAGTGAAACACCACAGCCAGTTATACTCAATCTATCTAGTTCACCAAGGCGCTATGCTGCCCGGTCCATCTCTGAAAACTCCTTAGAGAAAGGTCCAAACAATCCTGGAAGGAACACTAAGGCTGGGCTATGGTTTGTAACTCCTGAGATCACGATAACCGACAATGACATACGCGCACGCAACCACAAACAGCGAGATGTGCGTTCAGCCAGCTGGGATGCACTGGATTGTGAAAAGGCGCCGACTCAAAATGTTCTTCATCATCAAGAGAAGCCATCTGAGTCAGCGGAGCTGACCAAAGACAGAAAACACAACAATTATTCCCTACAGCAGAGCCTAGAGCAACTGGACGAGCTGCTAGCTGATCTTGTCATTGATTACAAACCGCCGACCAGCAGGAGGCCTAGTCAGGATCTATTGGACCAACTAAAACAGTTGATTAGTGAGGATGATGAAAAAGGAAAGATAATATCTTCGGGCCTAGAGAGTCTAGGAGGCCTAGAGAGTTTAGGACCTCTCAACACACCACCCTCCTCCACTAAAACCAGCCCTGACACTATCAAAGACCCAGACAGTGGGTGTGATGGCTTACAGAGCTTACAGAGGAGTCCAGAGGAGTTCTCCCCAGACCACAGCACAGACGACAATGACACTATGATGTGCGCCAACAGGAAGTGCAAGCGGACAGAGACCCTGTTCAATGCCTGTCTTTACTTCAAATCCTGTCATAGTTGCTACACCTTCTACTGCTCCCGGAACTGCCGTCGGGACGACTGGGACAGCCATAAAGAGAACTGTCTATATGGACGTATCAGCAGTGTGTGCAGGCATATGCTGAAGTACTGCAGAGAGAACTCTGAGATCCATAAAGTCTTCTCTCGCATTTCCAAAGCTGGCTACCTTTCCAGAGGGAGAGGCATTCTTTTCCTGGGCTTTGCTAACCCAGGGACTGCTGACAACTTCCTGAAGGTTGGGCTTGAGAGCCTTGTTATGTCCCCCACATATCTGTCTCTCAGAGAGCTGGACAGCTTCAAAGACAACCTGGGGGATTACTGCAAGGACCTGCAGCAGGCTGGCAATGAATATGACCCCAATGAATGTTTCCTCTTGAATGTATCCATAGCTGTTGGTGAACTAGTGCCTAACAGACCCTCACCAAGAGTCCAAACACCAACGGTCCGAAAATATGCAAAGGTTTCGTTGGCCTCCTCCAGCCCAGATAAAAAGGTCTTCAAGAAGGAGAGTGACATGGAGACACTCATTCTCACCCCGCCTCCAGGCACACCTGATATTGACAAAGAGGGAAAGGAGGGTATGAAAGCCAGAGAGATCTGCTTTATCAATATCCAACGTGAGCTCAGGACCAGGGGAGTCTTCCTGCGTCATGAGTATCCCAAAATATACAATCAACTCTGTGAGTTTGTGGAGAGCAACAAGAGATTCACACCCACCACCATTTATCCCATAGATAAGAGAACAGGGAAGCAGTTCATGTGTATGATCATGGCGGCTTCTGAGCCCAGAACGCTAGACTGGGTAGGCACCCCCCATCTCCTGGATGATATTATATAGTACTGTACTGTGCACCTCTGATGTCACCTATATGTACATGTAGATACATGTAATTTAACAGATATTTATGATGGATGTTTAGAAACATATGTATTTTACATCAGAAAGGAAGATTGTTAATAAGACTACCGTTATTCATGTTAGCATATTAATCACTAAGAATTATTAAAACAATGTGCAGGAAAGTGTTGACTGATGTTACACACACAAACAAACTATAATGTAACACTTTATCATTGTTGGTTTTTGTTGCAGTAGCGTTGTTTTTATCCTGTTACACTGAAAATAGTTTGATCTGCATGTAAAATGGTCATACTGTATTTACAAGTCATTATTTCGTTTTGAATCCCTGTTTAAACAAGGTACTGTCTGTGTTGATACCACATGAACTGGGTTGGGTTGTCAGGCACAAATCATTCACAATTATCTACAAAAATACCACTGCCTGGCTGAATATAACTGAGAGAGGCACTACTATTAAGAACATTTCTAAAGTAATCTAGATTAAAGCTTCATAACATAATTTTGCTTGAAATGTAGAGCTCCACTAGTGTTCTACGTGTTGAAGCTGTTCTCAGCAGCTGTAATTTATCAAAGAATACCGACAGTTGTATTTCTGCACATGCTTCATTATATCCTGAAAATATTTTAATATCAAAGAATCTCTTGAAATTGCAGTGCTGTACCAGAGTCTGGGTATACATCTTAGTTAAGATTATTAATATCACTGCTGTTAATAATGCTTTCATTATGCCTACTCATGGATAAAAAAATCTGGTGTCTACACCTATGCTCTGAATCCCCTCCCCCCTTGAGTTTTGTTTTAGGCATTAATTGCATCCTCTTTCATCACTTTATTAACATTCTATTGATTCTACACTGCTAAATTCACTGTAACATGCTTGATAACTTGTTTGATAGTGGCCTTCAGTAGAAAATGCATTTGACAGAAAGCAATGTGTGGATTTGTTTTATAAGGCTTGACTCTTGACTGTAAATTAATGTGGTGCATTTGCTTGACATTGCAAATGAATATTTATTTTGCTTAAAGCATGTTATTTATATTCAGGTATTTTAAATATTGATTATGCTTATGAAAAACTGACAATGGTTATAATAAACTGACATTCAATTCTTGGAATTGTAATATTATGTTTGAAGAATAAAATACTAGTACTATTATTGTTGGTTGAGAAAATACAGAAAGAGCAACCTTCATATTTGAACAGTAACATATTAGTAATGACAAGCTGGAGCTTTGAGCTGCTAAAAGCTTCTATTGCACTTGAACATAAATTATACAGAATGTCTCCAATGCATCTAACCACACAGCACTGAAACAAGCATGTTATGTTTCCATTGATAGAGCCTGACAAATCTAAGGTTGATCTTTTACACCATATTTCCACCTGCAAGATGTTACCCAGTTTTCTATTTTGTGATGTTTATAACCTATGTATAATAAACAGAAAATATAGACTGACCCTTCTCTTTGCATTTCTCTTCTAGAGTAAACCACAAAGAGCCCTGTATTGAGCCATCTCAAGGCTCTTAAGTAAACCATACAGAACACTAAAACAATGATCATACAATGTGATCAATTGACCAAGTATTTAGTCTTTCCCCTTTTTGTTGGTCTTACAAGCTACGGCAGTGTCTTTTGTTGATGGTCTCTGTGTGTTGTTCCAGTTTCACCAAATTAAGCACAAGTAGATGGGAAGTCTGTAATTATTCACACTTCTATCAGATAGCCCTGAAGGACATTCGGATGACTTCAAGACTGATGAGCCATTGGCACATCCTCTTCTAACTGATGCATAGACAGACTGTAAATCAAATCAGCCATGGCACATCCTCTGAACTTTAGCCATGGCACATCCACTCCATTACAGACAAAGACAATACAGATAGTCATTTAAATGGTTAATCAATATTCTATTGCCATGTTGATAGTGCCTCGTTAATTGCCAACAGACACTATCCCAACACGATAGCGCACCACCCTGCAATATGCAGGTATGTGAGAAACCAGCACTAATTCTGCTGCTCTTGAAACAGACATCTCAATATTCTTACGTAAGACAGTGCTGTTGCCTATCTTTGTTTTTCTTTACAAATGGAGATTGATGGCGAGAAAAACCTGGAGACAAGTCATTTTGAAGAGTATATATGAACTCATGGAACTTGACTGCCACCTATTGATGAAATCTAGACATTGCTAAAGTGGCAAATCAGGAAAGTGAAATTACTGTATTTCATATTATTTGAAAACCTAGTTTGTAGTTTATAGCATACAAATCTGAGCTGCATTTGTAAAAATAGTATGTTTTCTTTGTGCAGGTAGTATGCCTAGTTTGAACAGTAGTGATGGCTCCTACACAAAACAAAAAAGTGGGCTTGTCATAGACAAGGATTTTATAGATTTTGCTTCCCCAGCCTTGACATGAAAAGGTCAGGGACGCACCTCAACCACCTTGAGTCTCCAAGAGCATCATATGCCCAGTTCACATATCCTCCTGACCCAGCAAAAAAAGTAAACAAATATATTTGTTTAATTGTATGTGCAATGTAGAGGAATCGGTTATTAGTAAATGTGATTTTTTTTACATTACAGTAAATGTGTACAGTCAGTAAGAAAACATTGTTTAGCATCCTGATGTCTACTACAGACATTTATAAACAAGCTCTTATTAAGGTCTTGTAAATGTAAAAAAAAAAAATAATAACAATAGTTAGAAAAACTCACCAAACTACTCAGGGCTGAGATTTTTACTTACTAAAATATCAGTGGCCCAGCGCGCATGCGGGTGGAGAGCGTCTACTCTTGATGACAGCAGATGACAGCTGACTGAGCTAGCTAGCGCTTTGACGAAAAGGGGAGATCAGGAACGGTCTGGAATAGATATATCTAGCGATTTAACCCGTCAGATTGCTTACTGAAATTATTTCACGGTTATAGGGATTCCATAAACAACTGGTATACTATCAACAACTTGTTTGGTAAGTCATCGAATTCGTGTTATAGCTAACGCGAGCTAGTTCTTTTCCTCGCTGGCCTTCTTCAGCTAACGTTAGCTAGCTACTTCTTGGATGTCCTCCGTGATTGAACGCTATTTTCTTCCACAACTGGCGTGCCTGGCCTACCCGAGCAACATGGACATATCCCACCGTAGCTCGATGTTTGACTAGTAACAGTACTGCCAACATTTGAAGTTGGCTATGTCGCTAGCTAACGTTACTTAACCAACGTCAACGAGCTACAGTAAGCCAGTTAACGTTGTTGATAGCTAGCTAGGTACAGTAACGTTAGCCATGCTCTCTGTGATAGCTCGGTACGTTAATTAGTTAGCTATTTTGATTGTAAACTAGTACCTAGGCACCTAGCAAACTAACTTACGCTATAGCGACCTACTTAACGTTAGTTAGGTAATTAGGTAGTTGGCTAGATAGCTAGATAGCTAACCAATGCGCCTCTAATAGCAAGCTTTCTAGTTAGATTGCTAGCATTTCACTGTTAACGTTTGCCAGTATGATGATATGAAGCTAGCTAACTGTTTACAACACAGGCCGACGATGACACATTAGATACTATTAGTAACTAACGTTAGTTAGTTAAACTAACAATTCCGCAAGATGTCTACTGTTGCAACAGTGAACAAGACAAGGCTGGGGCCCTAAAAATGACTAGACTGGAGAGTTGTCTTGGTTGCTTGAATAATTAACTAGCTAGCTAGCGAACGGTAGTCGCCCATTCCCTTACCCACCTGATCCCCTATATTAGGTGTAGAATTGAGCCCCACCCAATGCAGGGGCCATGACTATCCACGACTGTAGGGTAGGATGATGAACCATAGAAAACTTCAGACGTGTGTGTATCAAGTGGGGCTCAAAGGTTTTCAAAACAGGATGGTCACAATTTATGTTGATTCAGGAATGCACTTGACCTTTTCATTAGGCAAATTGTTAGAGCCAAAACATGAATACATCTCAATCACTGCAAATTAAGATTAGAGTGTACTCTTAGCTTCTTTTATTTATTCTTGAGTTAAAGTGTTCTACCAGAAATTGGATATCATTCAGGTTCCTTTGAATCTCAACTGCCCTTGCCCCTGCAGTACTAGTAGTGTTGTTTCGAGACAAGGTTGAAGTTTTGGCAAGGTCAGGAGTTAGGATGTTGAACACTCCAGAGCAGAGGATCAGGATGTCTCATTCAGTGTAGGAGTGCGCTGTCAGGCTTTGTCTTCCTGGCAGGCAGCATTTGGCCTACATTTAGCAAAAAAGATTTTGAGCATACATCTGTCAGTGAAGGTGTTGATTTTAGACCTACAGAATTTTCCTTTCCTTATATTTGGAAGCTACTCATTTGCTCCCACCTTTGAACTTAAAGCATCTCTAGATATTTCATGCTAGCACTGCTTTGACCTACAGAATGCCCTCCTTTGGGTATGGTTGTGTAAGAGGAAGCGTTTACTAATTTGTCATCCCTGGGATCAGATAGCCTAACCCAAGTTTGTAGGCATTGATGACAGGACTAGGGTTATTTTGGGTAAATAAATGAAACTAGCTCCAGTAGGCTAATCTTTTTTTAGCGTGAACTGTATTACTATACTGTATTGTATTATACCTTATTATATGGACTGGAATTACGCACATCGTTCAAACCATGATAAAGCAGGGAGAGAACATGTGATTCTGGTGCAGCACATGCGGCCCACAAAGTTACAAGTATAGGCTAGCGAATTTGATTTTAATTTTGAAATATAATAGGGCCTATTTGTATAATTAGTAGGCTGACTCGTATATACATTATATATACAAAAGTATGTGGACACCCCTTCAAATAAGTGGATTCGGCAAGTTCAGCCACACCCGTTGCTGACAGGTGTATAAAATTGAGCACACAGCCATGCAATCTCTATAGACAAACATTGGCAGAAGAATGGCCTTACTGAAAAGCTCAATGACTTTCAACGTGGCACCGTCATAGGATGCCACCTTTCCAATAAGTCAGTTAGTCAAATGTATGCCCTGTTAGAGCTGCCCCGGTCAACTGTAAATGTTGCTATTGTGAAGCGGAAACATCTAGGAGCAACAACGGCTCAGCCGCAAAGTGGTAGGCCACATAAGCTCACAGAACGGGACCGCTGAAGCACGTAGTGTGTAAAAATCGTATGTCCTCGGTTGCAACACTCAGTACCGAGTTCCAAACTGCCTGTGGAAGCAACGTCAGCACAAGAACTGTTCATCGGGAGCTTTATGTAAGGGTTTTCCATGGCCGAGCAGTCGCACACAACTGTAAAGTTTGGTGGAGGAGGAATAATGGTCTGGGGCTGTTTTTCATGGTTTGGGCAAGGCCCCTTAGTTCCTGTGAAGGGAAATCTTAACGCTACAGCATACAACAACATTCTAGACGATTCTGTGCTTCCATCTTTTTGGCAACAGTTTGGGAAAGGCCCTTTCCTGATTCAGCATGATAATGCCCCCATGCACAAAGCGAGGTCCATACAGAAATGGTTTGTCGAGATCGGTGTGGAAGAACTTGACTGGCCTGCACAGAGCCCTGACCTGAACCCCATCGAACACATTTTTACATTTACATTTTAGTCATTTAGCAGACGCTCTTATCCAGATCGACTTACAGTTAGTGAGTGCAAACATATTTTATTTTTTCATACTTTCACACCTTTGGAATGAATTGGAATGCTGAATGCGAGCCAGGCCTAATCGCCCAAAATCAGTGCCTGACCTCACTAATGCTCTTGTGGCTGAATCACTGATGTTGGGTGATTAGGCCTGGCTCGCAGTCGGCGTTCCAATTCATCCCAAAGGTGTTCGATGGGGTTGAGGTCAGGGCTCTGTGCAGGCCAGTCAAGTTCTTCCACACCGATCTCGACAAACCATTTCTGTATGGACCTTGCTTTGTGCATGGGGGCATTGTCATGCTGAAACAGGAAAGGTCCTTCCTCAAACTGTTGCCATAAAGTTGGAAGCAGAGAATTGTCTAGAATGTCTTTGTATGCTGTGGTGTTAAGATTTCTCTTCACTGGAACTAAGGGGCCTAGCCCGAACCATGAAAAACAGCCCCAGACCATTATTCCTCCTCCACCAAACTTTACAGTTGGCACTATGCATTGGGTCAGGTAGCGTTCTCCTGGCATCCGCCAAACCCAGATTTGTCCGTCAGACTACCAGATGGTGATGTGTGATTCATCACTCCAGAGAATGTGTTTCCACTGCTCCAGTCCAATGGCGACAAGCTTTACACCACTCCAACCGACGCTTGGCATTGCACATGGTGATCTTAGGCTTGTGTGCGGCTGCTCGGCCATGGAAACCCATTTCATGACGCTCCCGACGAACAGTTATTGTGCTGACGTTGCTTCCAGAGGCAGTTTGGAACTCTGTAGTGAGTGTTGCAACTGAGAACAGATTATTTTTACACGCTTCAGCACTCGGCAGTCCCGTTCTGTGAGCTTGTGTGGCCTACCACTTTGCGGCTGAACCGTTGTTGCTCCTAGATGTTTCCACTTCACAATAACGGCACATACAGTTGACCGGGGCAGCTCTAACTTGGCAGTAATTTGACGAACTGACTTGTTGGAAAGGTGGCATCCTATGACGGTGCCACGTTGAAAGTCACTGAGCTCTTCAGTAAGGCCACTCTACTGCTAAAAAATACCTACAAAGTAGTTGTAGGACAGGCACAGGGTAGCCCTACTAGATGTGACAAACAGCCTCTGTGTGGGAACTCACGAGTGAAAGAGACAAGGGTCTCTTATTAACATTTTTATTGTGCTGTCCAGCACTCACTATGCCTGAGCTTCGGTGATGTAGCCTAGTGAATAATTTCTCATATCCTCATTCTGACTGAAGTACATTAGGATAGGCTATTTGCTACCACCACCACTACCTCACTTTCAGCTACCCTGCTTACCCTGGTTTCATTTTCATATTTGTAATTTCCTAATTATCTAAAACAAAATATCTGCAGGATTAAAGCTGATCTACCCCCTAAAAAAAATGTTTAAAAAAAGACACAAGAAAATGCAAAAAAATCAGACTATCTTATGTTGTCAATTGGATATGGTGGTGCTGGGGCTGGATTGCTGGAATAGGCTGGGTAGAGTTTTGCAATGTCTCTTTTGTGGTGTGTGTGAGCTCATTCTGAGAGGAGGTGATTGTAGGGAGGTGCAGCATGCACCCCAAGGCATTGCACACAGGAGCTGGTAAAATGTCTGCAGTCCAACGGAAGAAGGCCTGACAAATTTCAAAGGGACACAGCCCTTGATGCTGCGGCTCAGCTGTTGGACTAGGGCAAGGCACTGGCGTGGCGTACAGTACCACAGATAATAAAACAGGAGTGGTTAACCTGCTCATGCAAACAGTCCTATTTTATCTCATGTTGAGGGGAAGTGAAAAGGGGACTTTGTGTTTTGAGTTTCGTGTGCCTTTAGAAAGTGATTCCTTTCTGTATGTCTATAAAAAGCACGTTGTTCTGTTGGCCTGTGTTGCATGTTCAACTGAGGAAATGTTTGGGCTGTGTTCCAAACACCTCCACAAATGTGCTGTGTGGTGATCTGCATCACTGGTTCAGGTGCTTTTCAGTTTGTCAGATAGTTTGCTTCACAATGATTCCTTGTTCTGAGCCTAAGCATCATGTACGTAATGTTCGGAGGGATGGCTTTGGACTGAGAATTCTATTTCTAGCCTACCTACAGCTAACTAGCTTCATTCTGTCTCGCACACCCCCACCTGTTCCTTTCCCCACCACCTACAGTGGTTTTTCTTCTGCTTTAGAGTTCCCCTTCCTTTTCCATTACTTACTTATTAGGTAGGTCTACTCAACAAATCTTGAACTCGGAAACTGCTTTACCCGTACCAGGCCACAGGTCCTACAGTACCACCTGTCTGTCTGTCTGTCTGTCTGCCCTAGACCTACACCCTTTACTTCCACACAGGACTGTGACAAATGTAGTCTACTCGTTCAAGAGCATACGGCACATGCATCTTCTCATGGACTGGTACACTAAGTTGGTCATTAATCTATTGACAGAAGTTTATTTATTTAGCTGAGATCGCACAGTGTCTTCATGTTTCCAGAAAACTCCACAGTGGCCAGTCCATCATTTGGATTTAGCCTACTAAAGGAACACAGAGACTTTCTTGTGTGTTACCGATGATTAACCTTGCTAATCTGGCATGACACGGTTAAGAAAATGCTTCTAAGCCTCATCAAAATATTTATGTTTCAAACCACATATACATTTATTCTGTTTAATAGTATCAAGCCTTTGTAGTTGTATGCAAGCTCTGAGGCAGGGTTCTCTGGGCTGCTCTCACAGGCCTTCCAGCCTCACAATCTTGTCTGTTTTCCTTGGTAGCAGCCATCCACAAAGAACCTTTTGTGTCAAAGAATGCTCTAGGAAATAATTAAAATTTCATGCATTCTGTCTGGTTTGTGTTTGTGTGTGAAGGAAAGGGAGACTAATATGATTTGCATATTCTCTTGTGCTGTGAATAATGCTAGTACCAGACGCTTGTGTGAGTGAGAGTAGGGGCATGCTATTGTTTAAAAGCCCCCCCCCCCCCCCCCTTGCTTTCAATCTCAGCCAATGGAAGTGTTTCTGCCTTCTCTTGACTACTGATGCTCTACTTCCCCTGTCAGTGTGTGAGCTAGGATTCTGCCAACCATGCCTCCACAGGAAACATGGCCTTTCCTGCTCTTCCTCAGGATTCCACTCTGAGATATAAAAATGATACATTGTCCTCACTTGTAAATCTACTCCAAACTGCCCTGTATGTAGCTCTGTCCTGACTGTCTAGTACTCATTCTCTCTCCAACAATGTCAATACCATCCTCATCATTACCATTTATTTCCCAGCGTGACTGATCTTCCTCTTCTCTCACTCTTCTGCAGTATTTTACCTCTGAGTGAGCTGGTAAAGATGGTGAAGCCAGACATCCACACTCTGGCCCACCACCTGAAGCAGGAGCGACTGTATGTGGCTTCAGAGAAGCAGCTGATCCAGCGGCTCAACGGGGATGTGCTGAAGACTGCTGAGAGGCTGTACCGTGCTGCCTGGATCACCAAGCAGCAGAGGATCAACCTCGACCGTCTCATCCTCACCAGGTCAGCATGGGGCCCCCACAGCTATTGTTACCAGGGCATTTCAATGAGATTGATCCAATAGGAACTCTCCCATTTTAAAAAGGCGTTTTGAATTGTCCTCCACTTGTTTGCACTCGGCAGTGTGACCTTTAGTGAACTAGTAACTTAGTAGTCCTGAAGTAGGATCCCACCATATTAAACTGTCTTATCTGTGCATGCCAGAGCCAGCTGAGCACTATTTAGGCCAAAAGGGAAATGGCAAGGAATCCTGTAGTCCTGTGATCAGCAAGTATGTCATACAATTACATGTCACTCCAACCAGTAATCAACAGCTCTCTGTGGCTCACTGGTTTGTGGAGCTCTCGTAGTAATTAAAGCTCCCTGTCCTGTAGTGCTGAGGCCTCCCCGGCCGAATGCTGCCAGCATGCCAAAGTGCTGGAGGACACGCAGTTCCTGGACGGCTACAAGACTCTGGGCTTCCAGGAGAGCATCTACGGGGAGTTCCTGGGTCGGGTGCGCGAGAACCCCCGGCTGTTGGCCTCCTGCCTGGTGGCTGGGGAGAGGCTGAACCAGGAGCACATACAGGGGGTCATTTACACGGTCTTCACCTCACTCTATGGCAACTGTATCATGCAGGAGGATGAGCGCTACCTGCTGCAGGTGAGCAGCCTGGACCTCTTCTGACACTTATACTATAAACATGCTAGTCACACACAGCCAATAGCCACATGCACTCACCAATCAGCAGCCACCTGTTATTTAATACTATTACCTATCCCCATAGGTAGTGTGATGAGGCCGTTTCTGACCTCTGTACAGCTAAAGCTGATGATGCTGCGGTTTCTATCAATTCCAGGTCCTCCGCTACTTGGTGGAGTTTGAGCTGAAGGAGAGCGACAACCCTCGGCGGCTGCTGCGGCGGGGCACGTGCGCCTTCAGCATCCTCTTCAAGCTCTTCTCCGAGGGGCTGTACTCGGCCAAGCTTTTCCTCACCGCCACCCTCCACGAGCCCATCATGCAGCTGCTGGTGGAGGACGAGGACCACCTGGAGACGGACCCCTCCAAGGTGACAGAGCGCTTCACGCCAGCCCAGCAGGAGCGCCTGTTTGGGGAGAAGGGCTCGGTGGGCTACAGGCAGAAGGTGGCGGCCGCTGTGGAGGCCAACGAGGCCAAGCTGGTGACCCTGGTCAACAAGTTCATCGGCTACCTGAAGCAGAACACCTACTGCTTCCCCCACAACCTGCGCTGGATCGTGTCTCAGATGTACAAGACGCTGTCATGTGTGGAACGGCTGGAGGTGGGCGAGGTGCGAACCATGTGCACGGACCTGCTGCTCACCTGCTTCATCTGCCCAGCCATAGTCAACCCCGAGCAGTACGGCATCATCTCAGACGCCCCTATCAACGAGGTGGCCCGCTTCAACCTCATGCAGGTCAGTGGACGACCCAACAGACTCATACATCCACACTACTCTTATACATGCATGGACATTGACAGCTTATTGAGTACGAATCCTATTTGAACTGTTAGATAATAAGATAAAATATTGTTATCTTGCTTTCCCTTGTATGTATCCTAATCATTATCTTTGTCCTGTAGGTAGGGCAGCTTCTTCAACAGTTGGCAATGGCTGACGATGATGGAGACCCCAGGAGGAAAAACAGTTTGGCCAAGTTCGATAAGGTAAGATCCTCAAACACACATCTTAATATGGAACCAGTTTTCCCATGGGGTAGCTTTTATTACGTTTTCAATACATGTTTTGCTTCTTGTCTTATTATTGAAGTTGCCTGTCTGGTTGTGTCACCTCAGAGCTGTGTAGCTGCCTTCCTGGATGTGGTAATCGGAGGGAGAGCTGTGGAGACACCGCCCATGTCCTCCATGAACCTACTAGAAGGACTCAGCAGGACTGTGGCGTACATGACACACAGTCAGCTGCTCTGCCTGGTACGCTGCTGACCTGACTGTTTCAGTCTGAATGTTGTATGGCTTATATTGTAGTTAGCCTAGAACAGTATGCAACCATGTTTTAGACAGGCAACAGTAAACGTTCCTATGTTACAGAAAGTGAACTTGACATGCCCAGGCTTGTCAGACCAGAAAGACATTTCACACAGGTTGTTGAGAGTGCTGTTATGTCTCAAGGACTGGGAATTGCCGTACTATACTGAAGCATACAAAGTATTACCACATACTCCTGGAATTGCAGTGCAGTGGCTCCTCCCTTAGTTACCTTTCCTTATAACATTAGTGCGATAATCAACAATTACCCTAGCTGTATTCTATTGGCATGTCTCAAGCCCCACTTTTAGTTTCATTGTGAAGAAGAGTCCTGTACTTGTCACCCGTGGCATAAATTCTCCACCAGCGTAGCTATTCATGCATTATTAAAAATGTAATTTAATTCCTCATAGAAACTAGGATGTGAGAGTATTAAATGAAGTAATTAACTCCTATGGTGTTCAGGTGGACTTTGTACGGAGTGTGATGGCAGGGGACCACCTCCGGGAGGAGGAGCATATGCTCCTGGAGACCCTGCTGGCTAACGTGCCCCAGTCCCGGACGGTGAAGAGCAACAGTCTGGAGCTCACCCCCTCCAACACCCCACAGCTCTCCCCAGCCACTACCCCCGCCAACAAAAAAAACAGGAACATAGGTACCTACCTCCTCGGCTGTTGTTACTGTACACCTGCAGCCACCGGCTTTCTGACAGAGAGAATGACCTACTGCATAATGATATACGTGGTTTATCTCCAGTACTTGTTATTCCCATTATAGCATTGCACCAGTTGGAGAGTTCAGTTTGAAATTACACTGAAACCAGCCTTTTTATGTACTAACTGCAGGTTGTTTCATTCATGGTAATAAATAAGGAGGTGAAGTAGCTAGAGTTGTAATGGCTGCAGAAAGCCCCTGTTATGTAGGAAGCTAATGAGGTTCTGGGCCTGTTCTACAGGTAATTAGCAGTCTCTAGATTGGAGATCCATTACACAAATGACAACCAATTAAATTACAAAATATAAATGGACCCTTTTTAATTGGTATGGATGGAGAAATGTATACCTTCTTCCGTCATTAGGAATAAATCAATTAAATGTGACGGAAACAACATCCTCCTCCATTTGAAATAAGCCACTTTAAGGTGCCCTATTGAAATGTGAACCTTTTCGATTTTAAGCTGTTTTACACAGTTGCTTGCTACTCGCCCTGTATTCTCTCTGTCGCCCTCAACCTTCTTCCTCCTTTCCTCCTTTGCTGCCTGTGATCGACCAGGACAACAGTTAGCAACTTCCTGGGACTCCACAACCACCACCCTGTCTGCTCACATTCCATTAGTTACCCCTTTTGGTGGGTAGCATGGCAGCCCTGTGAAGCTGACTAGAACTAAAGCGTGTTTGTGCCACCTAGTCATGTGCCACTGCCAGTCACAGACACACAGTACCAGCCATGCTCATAGCCATGGTCCCTGCTGCAGTCTCACTGCTTCACCACCAGATCGAGCTAGCTGCTAGATGTGCTCTTGTCACCATGCCTTTTCACCATTTACATTTACGTCATTTAGCAGACGCTCTTATCCAGAGCGACTTACAGTTAGTGAGTGCATACATTTTTCATACTGGCCCCCCCGTGGGAAACGAACCCACAACCCTGGCGTTGCAAGCGCCATGCTCTACCAACTGAGCTACACGGGGCCTTATATGCCTGCTTTGGCCTGTGCTCTAGTCTTGTAGACCTCGTTTATACCCGGTTCTCTGCTGCTTGTTTTCACTCACGTGGTAAATTATATTATGTTTAAAGAAACATGCTTTTGGCTAAAGAGAAGATTGAAGTCAGACATGTTCTGTTTTATTGCTGATGTTGGGATCTTACATTCCTCTGCAAAAAGCAATGCATCAGAATTACCATACAGAGCACGATCAGGTCAGTCATTAGAATGGTATGCATGCCACGTGCTGATTGGGATGTGGAGTGTGGTTGCTTCACTGCGTCTCGCATGCACTTGTGATTTGTGAACCTTATTGGATGTACTCATGGACCTGTATTACACTGGACGGGTTACACAGCACACGTTATCTAAGCAGGGCCTAGCAAAATATCCAGTTTCTATTAGGAAAGATTGATTGATTTAATGATTGAATCCAATTAAGTAAACATTTTCTGTTCACTGCAATACCTCTTTCACAATGCAAACTGAAAGGTTGGGAGCAGCTAACAGGTTGGGAGCAACTAACAGGTAATCTAAGAAGCAATGCAGTCCATATGTAGTTGTGTATAGGTAGGTGAGTTTTTGCGTTGTTTATAGTTAGTATAGCCTACTTTTTTGCTTTTGTTATTATAGTGTAAGCTGATCCCAGTCTTTTGCGCCCCCTGAATCTCAGTGAGTGAGTATTACAGAGTAACACCTTGTCCCCTGCTACCACTGAATCTCTGTTAGTTAGTAACATCTCGTCCCCTGTCTCCCCTGCTCCCCCTGAATCTGTCAGTGAATGAGTAAAGCCTCATACCCCGTCTGTCTCCCTGCTCCCCCAGCAGCCTCCCGCAGTCGTAGCCGTTCCGAGCTGGCCCAGCAGGGGGAGGCAGAGGCTAGCTCCCTGGAGTCCCTGCAGGAGGTGATGCCAGAGGAGGTGCTGGTGATCTCACTAGGAAGCAGCCCCCAGACCATCCCTGGGATGATGTCAGAGAATGAGGTAAGTAACGAGCCTGTAACATGCACATTATTATGGAGAGTGTATGGTGTAATATACACTTGCACACAACAGTGGAAATACATTTGATATAACAGGTATATTTGTCATTATCGGAAGCCCACTTTAAGAGCCAGGATGGCAGTAACCAGTGCTGTTCCCTCTCAGGTGTTGACCATGCAGCTGACTGATGGTTCACAAGGGGACACTCCTGCAGATGACACCAAGCACCATGGCAAGCCAGACAAAACCCTGCGCTTCTCCCTCTGCAGTGACAACCTGGAGGGCATCTCAGAGGGTCAGTGTTCTAACAACCCACATGCCCTGCTGACTCAGTAGTTACTACAGCAACACAACAGAATGTTTTCAATTAGGTGTTAATGGCTTTTACACTTAGTAGTTTATATGTTCTCATGAAAACAACAGTAACTGTTCATGTACCACAAAAAGAGGACCTTGTGTAATCTGATGCATTGTAGTTGGAGATGTATAAATGTAATTGTTTTCGTTGCACAGGTCCGTCCAACCGGTCTAACTCTGTGTCGTCTCTGGACATGGAGGGAGAGTCTGTGTCTGAGCTGGGAGCTGGGCCATCAGGGAGCAATGGGGTGGAGGCTCTACAACTGCTGGAGCATGAACATGGTGTGTTGTGAGAAATCATTGTCTGCTAAACCAATGTCAGGGATCATTACATTGAGACGTGATAACATTGTCATTATCCCTGTCACACCCCCAGCCACCACTCAGGACAACCTGGATGACAAACTGCGTAAGTTTGAGATCCGCGACATGATGGGCCTGACAGATGACCGGGACATCTCTGAGACAGTGAGTGAGACCTGGAGCACAGACGTGCTGGGCAGTGACTTTGACCCCAACATGGATGAGGATCGACTGCAGGAAATAGCTGGTAAGACATAGGGAGAATCTCAATTGCATACTCCTCGTACTCTCTCCTCGCCTCCTTCTCAAAATCCATTGGATTTAAAAACCAGAGGTTCCTCCCCTCTGACCTTCTCCTCCAATTGGTTTTGAGGAGGCAAGGAGAGAGGACTTGAGGAGTATGCAATTGAGATTCTCCCATAGACCCAGAGGTCCTTACTACATCAGATAATATGGGACAATACTGCCACCTTTTGGTTTATGGCTAAAACAGCATGTTAAGGCTTCATCAAATCAAATTGTATTTTATTTGTCACATTACATTTTAAATTTTTAGTCATTTAGCAGACGCTCTTATCCAGAGCGACTTACAGGAGCAATTAGGGTTAAGTGCCTTGCTCAAGGGCACATCAACAGATTTTTATGCTTAGTAAACAACAGGTGTAGACTAACAATGAAATGCTTACTTACGGGCCCTTTCCAACAATGCAGAGTTAAAGATAAAAAATACAATAAAAAATAGAAATAGTGACAAAATAAATAAAATACACAGTGAATAACAATAACGAGTGAACATAACATGGCTATATACAGGAAGTACCAGTACCGAGTCCATGTGCAGGGGTACAAGGTTGTTGAGGTAGCTATGTACTGTACATATAGGTAGGGGTAAAGTGACTAGGCAACAGGATAGATTATAGACTGTAGCAGCAGGGTATGTGGTGAATGTGTTTGTGGCGTCAGTATGCATGTTATGTGTGAGTGTGTGGGCGTATGTAGTGTGTGGGTTGAGGTGTGTGTATGTGTGAGTGTGTGGGTAGAGTCCAGTGTGTGTGCATAGTCTATGCAAGCGAGTCAGTGCAAAAAAAGGGTAAATGCAGGTAGTCCGGGTAGCCATTTGATTAGCTATTTAGCAGTGTTGTTTAGCAGTCTTATGGCATGGGGGTAGAAACTGTTCAGGGTCCTGTTGGTTCCAGACATTTTTGGGCCTTCCTCTGACACTGCCTGGTATAGAGGTCCTGGATGGTAGGGAGGTCAGCCCCAGTGATGTACTGGGCCGTACTCACCACCCTCTGTAGCGCCTTGCGGTCGGGTGCCTTACAGTTGCCGTACCAAGCGGTGATGCAGCCAGTCAAGATACTCACAATGGTGCAGCTGTAGAGCTTTTTGAGGATCTGAGGGTCATTGCCAAATCTTTTCAGTGTCCTGAGTGGGAAGAGGCACTGACGTGCCCTTTTTACAACTGTGGACCATGTGTGTGGACCATGTTAATTCCTTTGTGATGTGGACACCGAGGAACTTGAAGCTCCCGACCCGCTCCACTACAGCCCCATCGATGTGGATGGGGGCGTGCTCGCACCGCCATTTCCTGTAGTCCACGATCAGCTCATTTGTCTTGCTGAAGTTGAGGTAGAGGTTGTTGTCATGGCACCACACTGCCAGGTCTCTGACTTCCTCCCTATAGGCTGCCTCATCGTTGTCGGTGATCAGTCCTACCTCTGTTGTGTCGTCAGCAAATTTGATGATGGTTTTGGAGTCGTCCACATAGTCGTGGGTGAACAGGGCGTACAGGAGAGGACTAGGCACACGCCCTTGAGTGGCCCCTGTGTTGATGGTCAGCGTGGCGCATGTGTTGTTGCTTACCCTCACCACCTGGGGGCGGCCCGTCAGGAAGTCCAGGATCCGGTTGCAGAGGGTGGTGTTCAGCTCAGAAATCATTTTATTTTATTTTATTTCTCTATTTAATTTCTCTGCATTTTTGGGAAGGGCCTTAAGTAAGCATTTCACTGTTAGTCCACACCTGTTGTTTACGAAGCATTTGAATAACAACTATTAGAATAACACACATTCTTTTCTAGAATAAGAAATAAAAATTAGGTGAATTACAGTTTACACTAGTAGGAATTGGCCTATGTTGATAGGCTAAATTGAAATGTTTCTTACAGAAGAAATATGAAAATGCATAACCATGGTAGCAATTGAATGGGAACAGTTTGGATATTATGGGGAAAATTATTAGACCAAAGTTGAGGTCTCAAGACTGCATCCAAACATTACACTGTTGATTTTATGTACATTTACTGTACTTATAAATGCGTATAAAAATGCAAAAGTTGCCCAATTAGCAGGAGGGATGGTGGCACGTTCTTGTTGCGTGCGGTGCTCAAGTTCAGAACACCTGTCAGTCAAAACCCATACAACACTGCGACGCGCAGAGTGAGCTCTGACGTAATTTATGGCATGTTACTGTACAGCCACTGGGTTACAATTTAGGCACTTATCAGTGCCCAAATCTGCCATTTTCAACCCGTATATGGGTACGGGTGTAAAGGGCTACAATGCGGTAAACGTTGTTTTTACCTCAGGATTCAGCTCATTATCAAAATTCAGATATTCCTTAATACTCATGGATCTCACACTTTCATTGAAGGGACTAAGCACACACCCCAGAGGGGCCCCAGTGTTGAGGGTTGGCGTGGCAGGAAGTCCAGGATCCAGTTGCAGAAGGAGGGGTTCAGTCCCAGGATCCTTAGCTTAGTGATGAGCTTGGAGGGCACTATGGTGTTGAACGCTGAGCTGTAGTCAATGAACAGCATTCTCACGTAGGTGTTCCTTTTGTCCAAGTGGGAAAGGGCAGTGTGTAGTGTAATAGAATTGGAGTGGTATGTGAATTGGTATGGGTACAGGGTGTCTGGGATGATGGTGTTGATGTGAGCCATGACCAGCCTTTCAAAGCATTTCATGGCTACAGATGTGAGTGCTACGGGGCGATATTCTGGAGCATTCCATCTATTTTGCTAATTGTTAAGTAAGTAAGGACAATCTTCAATGTTCTCTAAGACATAATTATCAAAATGTTCATTTTATTCCACGCAAACTTTTCTTCCTGCGCTTTCCTTTCTTCCCTCTCACTGCTTTCTCTCTCTCCGTTGCTTTCTCTCTCTCCGTTGCTTTCTCTCTCGCTGACATTCACTCAGTCCCTGCAGTCTTATTGACCTTGGTTCCTTCTCATTTGCATCCACCATTTTTCATTCCTTGGAATATGGCGTTGGGGGACTTTTCCATCATTAAGTGAATTTACAGCGATTTCCTTATGTGTTTTCTCCAAGGGATTGGGTTATGAGATGCACATTAAATATCCATTAATACCTCATTATCCCACTGATAAGATTACCATGATAATGAGGCAGAAATTCTAATTGTTTCACTTCTTGTTGTGCCACTCATTTAATCATCCACCTGAAAGACAAGTGCTCTGCGCCCCTACCTTGAAGACTGTAAACATGGACAGCAGGGTAGAGCTCTCCTGCCGCTAGAAAGGGACCTGCCCCCGCCCAGCCCCGCAGACTGTTGCCTGGGCGCTGGCACGCATGTGCGCCAATGGTGTGTTTGTGTGCTGTGAAGTGGAAACATGGCGTACCTGGGGGGTGCGGGTACCACGGGTCGACTCCTGATCCGCTCCCCGGCCACCATACTCCCACTCACACCTGCTAGCTCTTTCCCCTCCTCCACATTCTTCCGCCTTGTTAACCCACAGCATCCCAAATGGAAATGGAGGAATGTCGTGTGGTGGACTTTGTGGGAGGGTGGGTGAGGGGTAATTTGGTTGTGAGTAATGCCCGGCTTAATCAACAGCTCAAAGTCATGGCTCAGGAGGCAGGGTTGGGGTGAGATATTACCATTAACCTTTGAACTTTGGCACAGTAGTGTGTGCCTGTTGGCCCAGCGTGAAATGCCTGTGACCTCAGGCTCCCTCTCTGTCTCTCTGTCTCTCTGTCTGTCTGTCTGTCTGTCTGTGCTCAGGGGCAACTGTAGAGAACATGCTGGGCAGCCTGCTGTGCCTACCAGGCTCCGGCTCAGTGCTGCTAGACCCCTATGGATCCACCATCTCAGAGACCACCAGCGAGGCCTGGAGTGTGGAGGTCCTGCCCAGTGACTCAGGTGGGTTCAGTGTTGAGAAGGGGTTGTAGGAGCTGAATGGAGTCTCCTCCTGTCAGTTTCGCAACTCTGTACAAACATTTTCCATGAGTTTCTATGTAGAAGTATTTTTCTTGTCTTCCTCCATGCACTGCATCTGCATGAGTCACTCCAGTAGGTGTGTGTACGGAATTACTCTCCATGTGTGTGGGTGGACACGCCAGGTGTGGCTTCCCCCCCAGTTCCATATCAAGGAAGTGGGTGCAATCTGTCATGTTTGTGTGCACTAGCCTGTCTATCAGGGTATATCTGCCTGTGCCAGTAAAAGGCAGCTCTGGGTTTCCCCAGAGGAACCTCCAGGTGTGTTTGCACCTGTAGTGGATGAACAGACATGAGGAAATGTTCAAGGACAGCAGCTGTTTGCAGTCTATTGACATGGTGTCAACCTTTTTGCTGGCAACATCCTCTCACAAATCTGTAGGCTTTGCAACACATTCTTCTGACAGTGGGGTTTTATGTATGGACATGTTTAGCTGAGCAGTTCCAGCACAGTGTGAATGTGGTCCCATTGCAGCAATTACAAACCATACGTTATTATGAACAGGAGGAATCATATCAATCTTAAACTGTCTGTTCTTTAGTTAAAATAAGGTCCTAAAACCATATGTTAGATTACGTGGTTAAAACCCCTTGAAAGTGTTTCATGAATATCAATAGAGTACTTTAATAACAGCATTACAAGTGTTTCTTGGGAAAGCCCGGACTCTCTGTTAATTGAAGTGCACAATTGCAATGTTAAATTGACATGCATGAGTATCTTGATTGCTTTTTGTTTCTGTTTGCTGCCCCTGTTCTGCTCTGTAATAGGGCTATCTGATGCTCGCCTGGAGTTGAGGGCTTGTTTCATGGCTAGGCAGCAAAAAACGACACTCCAAAGAGCACTTCACTAGCACATTATTACTAACGAGCATGCAAATGAGTACTGTGGTTACTTTGGAGCCTCTGGGTTAAGGTGAACTGCTCCATTGGGCAGCCACAAAATGGTCTGGACTCGAGTTTTCGCTTTTCCCTTTGTCAGTTGTAGATGGTTTGTTTTGCTTTCGTGCATATTAGTTTTCTTAGCTATTACTTTATCCTGCCAGAAAAGGGAGCCCAAACAAACACTATGTGCCTATGAACAACTTACATTGTTGACTATAACTGGATGTGACTGTACTGTGTGTGTGTGTGTGTGTGTGTGTGTGTGTGTGTGTGTGTGTGTGTGTGCCTCCCCCTCATCCCCCCCAGAAGCCCCAGACCTGAAGCAGGAGGAGCGTCTACAGGAGTTGGAGAGCTGCTCAGGGCTGGGCAGCACCTCCGATGACACAGAGGTCAGAGAGGTCAGCTCCCGGCCCAGCACCCCAGGGCTCAGCGTCGTCTCAGGTACCCTGCACCTCTTTCACTCAGAAGCTTTACAGTATATCCAACACATCAGTTTCTATACTAACATACAGATTGAAATAAAACAAGTCTAACCAGTCATAGAATTATAATTAATGTAGTTCAGAGCCATATTGGGTTTTGTCTGTGTTAGCTGGAGAGCAGTCAGATAGTGCTAGATAACCAGGTCGGTGTGAGACTTTGGCTAGGACTCAGGTTAACACTGGCACTCTGTACTGGTAGCTCAGGTAAACAGGCCGCGTTGACATGCTTGATGTAGCATTCCAGATTAAGAGGACTGGGCCTGTGCCCACGGCTGAGCTCATGTAGGAACATGTCACACAAGGGCCGGGCCGATGGATAGGCTCTGTCTGATTATCAATCTTACTGCTGCTGTTTGCATCTCCCTTCCCAACCATGGGAGCTCCCGCTACCATATTTAGTGGTCCCAGTGGGCCCCTGGTTGAGAGGGACCATTCAGCATATCGTCTCAATACAGTGTGTACACTCTCAGACTGCTAACTTCCAACTGTCACACATTCCCCGTCACTCAGAATAGGAGCTAGTCAGCCAAATCCAAACCAAGTCTTCCACCAAATGTTACCATCTCCTGGATGGCACAGATTCTTTAACATACATTTCTGTTTTTTTCCTGCAGCGACATCAGAAGACAGAGGAAAGACGGAGGACCTGCGGTCGGAGTGCAGCTCGGACTTTGGGGGGAAGGACTCTGTGACCAGTCCAGATGGGGAGGAGTCGTCCCACGGTAGGAGAGAGGGGAGAGTGTCAGCTCCCCCTGTGGCCTGGCTGTGGCATCACTACACTGTCAGCAGCTAGACCTATCAATCCCTGTCAGCTGAGCTGCCATAACCTCTCCACTACACTAGAATGCTGCTGACCCTGTTGGAAACATTCTGCTTTGTTTTCAAATGAATGTTTAGACCAGATGGCTCATACAAAGTATAGCTACATGATGATAACTAATACAAAGAACAGAATAGCCCATGCTTTTTTCAATGGCATGAACAATTATATCAGACAGTGGCGCTTTGTTTAAAGTATGAATAACTTTCTTGTTTCAGGAGGACACCACAGTTTAGCTTCTCCGCCCTCACAGGCAGACTCCTTACTGGCCATGTTCGATCCCCTATCCTCCGGCGAAGGTAATTTCTGCTCCCACAATGCTCTGGGGTATTTGCTATGTCGAGCGTCCAGGAAATGAAATAAGACCAGGAAATGAGCATCATTAAGTCGTGTCTAGTGGCGTGGACTCACAGAACAGCTTGATCTCTGAGAAAATGAACCAAAAGAGTCTTGCCCCAATTACTGGACAAAACATTAGTGCAATAAAAATGTCTACTGCGTGGGAATGTCATTTCAATTAGCTCATTTGAGTGAGGTGAGTGAGCTGTGTGGCAAGGTGAGGGGATGACAGGTTGAGAGACCTCACCCCAGGCACTTTGGCACAGTCCCTTGTCCCACTGTGCTCATGGCACCAGGCTGCCATTGGAAGCTTTTCAGGAGAGAGAATCTACCCTTGGAACAGGTGGCATACACACACCTAGGGCTTGTCTCCCACCAACCAGCCTCACTTTCCCCTACTTCCTCATTGCTTTGCTGTGGTTTCCTTTGTTTCTGGACACACTCGATAATTGTAAAAGTGTTTCTGAGAACTGAGGAGGTAATTGTTGTTCAGATACACCCCTATGTGTTAAGCTGTATAACCAAACTAAGCCATGTTTTTTTTCTTTCACAGGTTTCTCTACTGGTACTATCGTGAGGCCCAAAGTGTACTATGCCAGGCCCCTTCATCCTCCCCCTGACCCTCCCATCCCAGAGGCCTGTGCCCTGGGCCAGGAGCCCCGCTACTCCCTGTTCACGCCCCACTGCCTAGCCCAAGGCGAGCTGGAGCACACCAAGCAGCGCTACTCCTACCCAGACAGGCTGGTACGTAGCCGCAGCTCTGACATTGTGTGCCAAGGCCGCCGGCCTACCAGCGACCCAGGCCTCAACCGCAGGGCTGCAGCCGAGGAGCGGGACCCTGCCGGGGCCTTCTCTATGGGGTCACCCTCGTCCCCCAGCAAGGACTCCCTAAAAGGAGAGGTGAGAGCTGCTGGTAATCACTGTTGTCACTTCAGCCCTGCATGCTGCTCTGCTCTCCAAGCCCAGTTTTAGACCCACTGCACTCTATAACAACAGTCATAGTATGAACTCTTGTCATTTCACTAAAGATGACATTTTATAAAAGGTGAAGTGAGATAAGGAAGTCGAAAGTCACTTTGTCAGTACATAAGCCTTTCTTTCCCGTGCTACCGTTCAGTGTCAGTATGGATTCGAAAACATACTTGAATATTTATTTTCCAAAGGTTGAGGAGCGAAAGGACAGTGATGAGGAAAAGTCTGATCGCAACAGACCATGGTGGAAGAAACGCTTTCAGTCAGCCATTCCCAAAGGTAAGGACTCACTTCTAAACCTCCTCTTTCCCCCTCCATCTCTGGGTCAGTTTGGCATGCCCTCTTTTCTATGTTGCAACAAGTGCTTTTAGTGGGTTAAATAGTTTGACAATTTGTTTGGAAATTGCATGGTTACTATGTTTAGTACATTCTTTTCAATCTTTCATGATGTTCTCTTAATCACATCTATTGCAGAAAATGTATACTTTTTTAAAGACCTGTAAATGATGATGCATGATCGCTCCACCTCCGATGTTCTGCTTTGAAAAATACTGTTTCTTGTTGTTGAAAGTTACACCAGACAAATGGACAAGTCTTTTCTCACGTCTCACTTGCACTAGATTTATTTTTCGTTTCTAAAACTAATCAGTCATGTGAGGGGCTTGTGCTGGTGTAGATTGTGCAGTGGTACCCCTCCCAGTGGTCCTGTCATCCCCAGCCTAATGGTCATTAGATAGACCTCTCTGTCATCAACGCTGATAGATTACACATCTCTTGTTGCGGTTAAACTCCAAAACCATCTCTCATAGAAGTGTCAGGAAATAATGAGCTGTGCCTACAAGAGATGACTGTGTATTACTCTTTTAGATAATGATGTTCCTTTAGTAAACATTAAAGTTGGATTAATAAACCCAGATCTGCACAGAGAAGTGTAAACCCGTTAAGTTTGAGTTTGACAGAAAGAATAGCAGAGCACCGTTTAGTGTAAATGGAATAGGCTATTAATATTTTAGTCTTTGAGGAAAAAATGTCCTTGTCCATCCATTCAATATCAACCCCTCTGTCAAACTGTTGAGAACCAGAGTCCACAAAAAGGCCCTTCTGTTGGCCTGGTCCTGCTGCTGTGCTGAGAATATCATGGTGATGTATAGCCTAGCCCCTCACAGAGTGTCAGCCAGGTAGACTTGAGTGTGTGAAAGGCCAACCCTGTCTGTTGTGTTCCTCACACAGTGCTGTATTGGACGGCTGAGAGTGAAGTCCCAGGTAACACTTCCAACAATAGCTGTCATCATTGAGCAAGCTGCCCTGACGGCAGTGCCAGTGGCTGAGTGCTGTAGGCCATGACGCTTGTAGACGTGGCCCTTTGTGATAGAGAGAGCTGTGATGTGACATGGTGCCGCCTGAGTTGATGTCCTGGCTCCTCATTCATGCATTTGTTTTGGATGTCCCCATTTTTCTTTTTGCACTGTAATGTTTGTGATACAACATTGCAACATTGGGGCGCACAGAATGGCAACACATTTATACATTGCTATACTTCTCTTCACATTCTCTCCCTGTAAATACCGACCTTTAAGATGATTCTGTTATCTGGATATAGACCACATTTGTCCTGTTGACACTCGTGTGTTAATAGCCTCACCTGCTTATTTGCACGAATATATATATATATATATATATATATATATATATATATATATATATATACACACACATCTTTTAATGTGTACACTGAGTGTAGAAAACATTAGGAACACCTTCCTAATATTGAGTTGCACCCCCTTTTGCCCTAATAACAGCCGCATTTCGTCGAGGCATGGACTACAAGGTGTCAAAAGCGTTCCACAGGGATGCTGGCCCATGTTGACGGCACTTCAATATTTTTGTCTTGCCCATTCACCCTCTGAATGGTACACATACACAATCTGTGTCTGAATTTTCTCAAGGCTTAAAAATCCTTCTTTAACCTGTCTCCTCCCCTTCATCTACACTGATTGAAGTGGATTTAAAAGATGACCTCAATAAGGGATCATAGCTTTCACATGGATTCACCTGGTCAGTCTGTTTTGTACACTCAGTGTATATCTAAGTGATATTGTTTGTCCATTGCAGTCTGGCAGTCGTATTATTTCAACCATTTTGCTTTTATTTACCTCTCTAGCATTCCTTTGCTATTATCGTGCAGTGAACATAGGGATACATCTCCTTAATGTTGTTCAGTTTATATGATGCTATGCTACAGTATGCATCTCTCATCTACATTGTTAGTCAATGGTAAAAGCCACCGTAAATGTGTGACAACACAATTTCTTGTTCTGCTGTCATGAAGTGAGTCATGATGAGACTGTGGTCCAGAGAGAGTGAGAGCAGAGCGTACAGTAGCAGCACTTCTCCTAGCTCACTCATTATGCTCTCTCCACAGCTCCGATAGCCTTCCGGAAAAGGGACAGGCAGGAGAAAGACGATGTGGGCCATGAACGCGTCCCACAAGGTCTGTCCTGATTTATTGTCATTGCACTCAGATATTGCTGAATCGGGGGGGGGGGGGAGTGGGTATGTTTCCCATGGTGAGTTTAACCCAAATGTGTCCTGTGTGTGTTTGTCAGACGACCCTCTGTCCAGGAACTCCCAGGCCCAGGCAGCAGAAGACATCCTAGACAAGTACAGGAACATCAAGAGGACCAGCCCCAGTGAAGGAGCCACCGCTGCAGCCTATGATGCCACAGGAGGTCAGTGTCTTTCTCACTCAGGCACACACACACATTCAATGAATTAATTTGAGCGTGTGAATGTGTTGTGCACAGAGCTGTGTGGAGAGGAGGGTTTGCACGACTCTCCCAGAGACGAAGCTCTGCAGAACATGTCCACAGACGACCTGCCAGACTCAGCCAGCCAGACGGCCCAGCAACACCACTCCAACAAGTTCTCTTTCAGGTCAGTGAGCCCTCACCAGTTCACAGAAGTCACACAGCTATGATGATAGGAATAATACAATCTTTGTTTATACATCAGCTTTCATGCAATGCTTTATTATCAGCCAGAAGTGCTTCAGAGGCATGATAATTGACAAAAGACAAAGTGATAAGACTATCAAACCAAATCTACATTTTCCAATTTTTTCCTCATATGTTGCAGTGATGCAAAGAAGAAGTTGAGACTGGCCTTGTGTTCAGCAGACTCTGTGGCTTTCCCCCTCATGGCTCCTGCCACCACACGCAATGGGCTGCCTGACCACACAGACTCTGAAGGTACCATTCTATTATTACTGGCCATGTTATATCTGGCCACATTCATTCCTGTAAGTAAGCCTGCCCACTACACATTTACCAGCAGGACACGGCCACACACAATAGAAAGGGACATCCTTTGAAAAGGTTACATTTTGAAATCCATGAGACACTCTCTCGGTTGTCATCAGTCACATCCACATGACAGGGGGGAGCAGGGCAGGCTGATCTGATTACAGCAGTAGCCCTTCTCCCAGCGAGGGGCCAGTGTGTCTGAGCATCTCACCCACCGCTGTCTGTCTACCGTCTCCTTCCCAGACAATGAGATCGTGTGCTTCCTGAAGGTCCAGCTGGCGGAGGCCATCAACCTGCAGGATAAGAACCAGATGGCCCAGATCCAGGAGACCACTCGCTGCGTCAGCCGCTTCGACGCACGTACCTGCAGGAAGCTTCTGGCAGCCATCGCCGAGGATTACAGGTAACTTTGGAGGAAGAGAGAATCTGCAGAAGGAGCAGCACTGCTATTACTGCATGGACAGTTCTGTGGTATAGTTGATTTGTATTGTTTTGTTTGAAATATGTAGGTCTATTTTGAAAGGCTAAAATAAACATTTAGGTAGCCTATGTCTTGTCAATTAATATTGTGAGTAATGTCTTATTTCAGTAGTAATATCTCAGATCAACCTAATTTTGTCACGGTCACTCATCGCAACCGTTCATAAGCATAATCCATAATGCCTGCATGTGTGTCCCATCCCCCCTGGTAGGAAGCGGGCGCCCTACATAGCATATCTGACGCGGTGTCGGCAAGGCCTGCAGACGTCCCAGGCCCACCTGGAGCGGCTGCTGCAGCGGGTGCTGAGGGACAAGGAGGTGGCTAACCGCTACTTCACCACTGTCTGTGTTCGCCTCCTACTGGAACACATGGAGGCTAAGTCACTGGACTTCATCAAAGGTCTCTGCTCCTTATTACTTATGTACTCACTGTGATTTTGGAACCATGAATCAACTGATGGTGTCTCTGCTAGTTGATTGACCTCTGAATGGCCATAGTATGGAATTCAAAATACAGACACTTAAATTCAACCTAACTACCTGCACCACGTTGCAGTGCTTCATTTACAATCTAGAACCTCTAAAATACTCTAATTGTTCAGTGTGTCCATCTCTGGTCCCCCCCCAGCCTTCCAGGGGTGCACAGCGTCAGATGACAAGACGGCGGCGGTGGAGGACTTCCTGCGCTACCTGTACGGGGCCATGGCCCATGATGCAATCTGGCAGTACGCTAGCGAGGACCAGCTGCAGGATGCCCAGATGGCCATCGAGCGCAGCGTCATGAACCGTATCTTCAAACTGGCCTTCTACCCCAACCAGGACGGGGACATCCTGAGAGACCAGTGAGTAACGGTGACCGCAGCCACCTCACCTCGGTCACATGGCCCCAGCGTTGGTGTGGCTGCTGCCCCTCAGGCTTAGAAATGACCCAGCTTCCTGTCCTCCTACTCGGATGCTAGTGTACCATCATATTATCCTTTACAGATTTGAATGAAGATTACACTGTATTGCTATAGTAGGTTTCCAGTTTATTGTGTTGATTGTTCACCTAATCTATGTTCCCCCCTCCTCTAGGCTTCTTCAGGAACACATAGCGCGTCTCTCAAAAGTGGTGACGGCAAATCACAAAGCTCTTCAAATCCCAGAGGTAACCCCACAGATTTGTATCCCCCCAATTGTCCATCAAAGTCTCTGTTTTTCATTTTGTGTTGATGTTTGGAGCTCTACAGAGTTGACGTGCTGAATGCTATTTCCTGTGTGGCTCCAGGTGTATGCGAGGGAGGCTCCCTGGCCGTCTGCCCAGTCGGAGATCCGGACCATCAGCGCCTACAAGACTCCTCGGGACAAAGTGCAGTGTATACTGCGCATGTGTTCCACCATCATGAACCTCCTGAGTCTGGCCAACGAGGACTCTGTCCCCGGAGCAGACGACTTTGTCCCTGTGCTCGTCTTTGTCCTGATAAAGGTGAGCATCCATTGCACATTGAAACCAAGTTACTCAGATGTTTACGTCAACATCATATTCACTTTAGATAGTAAAACTTATACCTCATTAAATGGTCAAACTGCTTCAAATGTGATTAAAAGTATAGGCCTTGCTAAAAGTATGAACCCAGTCTCCCTATAATGCACTGAGGGAGAAACTGAATCCCCAGCACACATTCTGACAATCCTTTCTCACATAGACAGCTGTATAGTAAATGTGTAGTAGGATGAAGATCTTGCTGTATGATAACCTGTATAAACATATTTACATACGGTATGTATTATACATGGCCTGGCGTATGGCTCTCTCTGTGGTTAATGTGACCACCCACCCCCCCCACCCCTCCAGGCAAACCCGCCTTGCCTGCTGTCCACTATTCAGTACATCAATAATTTCTACGCCAGCCGGCTGAGTGGGGAGGAGTGCTATTGGTGGATGCAGTTCACCGCGGCAGTGGAATTCATTAAGACCATCGACGATCGCAAGTGAAGCAGAACCGCCACCTGTATGGGGAAGGAGACGGGAGACTGGGAGACTTTCCAACCAACTGCTCCCCACAGCCCCCAGAACCAGGACCCAGGCCCACGCCCTGTCTGTCTGCTCTCTGTTTGTATAGCTGTACATAGTCAGAGACTTTGAGAGAATTAAAAGTATATATGATTATTATGTGGACAAAATCCAGGTTTTACCATGGAGAAAAAGGCCTTGGAAAAATGGCAGATGTTAACTTTGAACTTAAACTAATTAGCATTTCTCATTTAATCTCTTGTCTCTCTAGTCATGGTGAGGTGTTGGGGTCTATGTCTTGAATGTTATATCTAAAGTTATGATTCTAACGTTAAATTGACTGATGAAAGTGTCTAATCAGATGAAAAGGGACCATGTTTCCTAGAGATTATCTCAGATATATGTTGTGGAAGGGGACTACCTGAAGGTGAGAGAGAAAGGTTTCCTTGTTAAATTGTGCAATCTTTCCCCTGAAATACTCTTCATCCCAATGCTCTTCATCGTATCCTGGGGAATCACAAACCTCAATAGATACTGACTGAGTATTGGTGACTCAAGTACATTATAAGATCAACCCATAATAATCATGCTAATATTAGCTTTTTTTAACATTAGCACATCAATATTAGGACAGCTTTTTTCATAAAATGTAAACAAATGTATTCATTATTCGGTTCATCCTTAACTAAATACTTCTCTTTCTGTGGCAATTTGGACAGAAGGGCCCCCATATTTATATATAACATGTATTTATTGCTTTCATTCTATTTCATGGAATTTTATTTTATTTCTATAAATGAAATCACACGTCATGCCTATTTAGGAGATTTAAGGCAGCTGTAAGGGTTGAGATATTTTAATAGTGTTAGGAGGACGAGCAGCATTGTCCTCAGACTGAGAAGCCCCCAGGATGAGATGTTGGCTGTTTGCTACGGCTTCTATACGTTGTCACCACTGATCAGCTCCTGCACAATATCACTAGTGCTGGTATTTTTAGAAATACTGAAATGAGTGCCTTGAGGAGGGCCTCTTTGTGTAAGTCTGTTATTTGTTGAATTTTTTCTTGAGAATGAGGGTTCTGCTCTTGGTTTTCCATAAAGGATAGGCATTACTTCCCCATTATCACAGGGGTGGGCAACATATGCCCCGGCCTGTGAGCCCATTCAGTCTGGCCAGCGAGAGGTTTGAGTAAAAAAATTAACTTTATTTTGGGGATATTATTATTATTATTATTATTATTATTATTGGGTTAAAAAATAATCCAGGCCACTCTTGAATGTCTAAAACTAGATGGAAAGTATGTAGAAATTATGTTTATAATGACCTATACGTTTTCAAATAACTGCCCTTTGTATGGCCAGAACATTACTTTTGACGAACAAATTGGTCCGGAAAAAAATATGTGCGCCTGAATTTTGAGAAGCCTAATTTATTGCCCACCCCTGCATTATCACCATTGATCCCCACAGCCTGTCTCTCTGAGAAACCTCATTCCAACCTTAGTGCTGTGACTGGAACACCACTGGTTGTTTTTGTTCATTCCCTTAGCACTCATCTCCTTCCCATTGCTTTCAATGTTTAATATCCTACCTCAAAGTTAGAACCAATGAGCCTGACATTTCTGTTTGTGCACAATACTCTTTAATATTGGTTGGATAGAAAGAGTAATGGAACAGGTATTCACTGTTTAGCATCAGCTTCCCCTATTGACACTGATGAATGCTCCCTTGCAGGAGCATTTCCAAACAAACTAAGTTGGGTATTTCTGTAGTTGAAGCTGTTATAATGCATGTAGGTTTCAGCGTAGAGCAGACAGACTAGTGATTGGATTAGCTCTACCTCCTCACACGATCAAGAAAGGGACTCTTAAATATTTATGCACTCTTGTATTATTTTATTTATTCTTTCATTTTAGAGTGCAGGGAAATTATTTCATTTACAGGCAAGTTTCTAATCACTTACAGCCAAAGGCACCAAAACTCATAAAATAATGTTCTGTTTACGTTGCAGCTACAAAAAGCAGGAACACTTCCCACTTTGTTTGTGCACTTAGCATTGTGCCAAGTGTCTGTATTATTTTCTATGTTAAATCACTGCTTTCATATCCCATGACTAGACAGCACAACAAAAAAGACAAAAATAGCAAATAATCAGAACACCATTTATGTTACTGACCGTTGAAAAAGGCAGTGTGGAAGAATGTGGGCTGTGTTGCGTGAGAGGTTTGTACAGTGAATGTGTGATATGTTGGTCTGTTAGACAAGTGTGTTTTGAGAGGTTGACCCTTTCTTTTACACAATGTCAGGACGGTCCCCTTACTGTAGCTAAAGTACTACTCGATGAGCAGTAAATCCTTGCTGGTGAAAAACCTATTAAATATTTCTAGAGATAGTTTCAAACTGAGGCTGGGTTTTCTTTTTGTCTGTGTCCCTGATGTCATTTCTTTTTCAAAGTTCAGAGCTTAATTACTCTGGATTTTTTGTACAAGGTTAGTGAAGCTTGCTCCCTACATTTGACACGCAGAACATTTTACATGTTTTCTACTCTGCTCTTTAGTAATGAGTCACACTGGTTTGAACTAAAGCCTCTGCCATTAAAATGATACTGTAACTGAGATTTATATGGGTAGTTTAGCTAGGTCTGACTGTTACAGATTATCCAATAACATCACTCATAAGGACACACATTTATAAGCAATCTCTAAAGTTGTGATATTAGTGTTTTCTCCCCATTTCCTGACTTCTGTTCCTGTTTTTTGAGGAATATCTGTGTACAGCATCTAATGGTTTTTAAATATACCTGTGCAAAATAGATGATATTGCTGTCTAACCTGTTCGAAAACACACCCGTGTAATGATAGGTCACAAAATGCAGTTAGGCAGTATCCAGAAGTGTTTGTGTGATGTCACTTTAGAGGTATGTACAGTACAGACCAATATGATCAAACAATCTGGACCTGGCTTGTGTGTTACTGTTTCCTTCTACATAGCAGTGAACAAATATACTTTTTAGTAGCTAGAAAACTACAACCAGCCTTCGTGTCTGACCTGAGTGAAACTGTTCATACACAGTGACAGAATACCTCTCATTGTGAAGTTAAAGTACAAATACACATCCTAACATTGAGAAGAATTCTATAGTCTGAGTTTAGCATTGATTGTATGCAAACAAGTGGACAGTTGCCAGAATGGTGGACTAAAAGAGACGTTTGACTATGGAAATCTGGTCTTTAAAGCTTTACAATCCTCCCTGTGCTCTAGTCCCTGTACAGAGTAGGCAGAACAAGCAGAAAATAATCCATTTTACATTTGTAAGCTTGCACAATTATAACATATGCGGAGGGGAAGGCGTTCTGTCTGTGATTAATGTATCATATAATTCTTTAAAACAATAAAATACATTTTTCTGTACCTGTATCCTGTTATTTCTGATCATGCAGGTATAGTATGTGAGGGATCTCTTGTGGAGGGAGGGAAGGTGTATGCTGTAGTTTAGTCTTGTTCCATGTCTTATGTTGTGGGAGATATAGCTCTGTAATTCAGATTTAGGTTCTGAGAAATTCTGAGATTTAGGCTGCACAATAGCTGGTTCATGTTAACCACATTTTTTGCATGGAACATAATTGTTGGAGAGGGCATTCGAGCCAGATCATATCTCGGCAGCGCCACAAATAGCAACCTCTCATCAAACATTGAATTACTGCTGACAAGTGTACAGCTGATTTGTAATTGAAGATTTTCCCCATCTAAATGCTCCCCTCACTTCATCAATAGCCTTCTCTAATAGTAATCTATCAAAACAACTGCATGGTGGGGTGCCATGCATCTCCAGATGATATCTCACAATTGTTCATTTAAATACAAATGTGAAGTTTATTAGTTGGATTAATAAGCCAATGACTAAATAGGCCTTGTTTGCAGATTGGCTCTTTTGTTTGTTTGTTACTCGGTTGATTTCAGAAACATGGAGGACAAGGTCTTCATTTCCCCCATCTCTGCTTGTACATGATCCCAATGTGATCATATCATTAGACCACTCTAATTTCCTCTGCTGTATGGGCAACAGCATACGTTTCATTATATGCTGATGTTTAAGTTTGATGCAAAAGATGCTTGCCGTTTTATTGGTTGGGGGGAAGTGTAGAAAATGTGGACTGGGCTTCTCTGACGCAACTCTTGTTTCATATTAATGTCAGATTGTTGCATGAGGATATAAACAGCCCTAGGCCTGGCCCAGATGGCTCTGGAATAACAGATGATCAGTCCAGCGGGGCTTGTGCATGACTTCACACACACTGGTCTGCACCAAACACTTCCATTGACTCTGGGCAAACCATGGAGAGTCATGTCTCTCCATGCTCCTCCACTATTAGCCTATATTGAGTAGTTAAATGATACCTGTGTTACAGGTCTATAGAAAAAATATAGAGTATTGTGGTCATCTATATTCTTCAATGATAACATTTATTACAGGGGACATACTGTAGTCCAGCCGCAGTGCTTTGAGTTCCTTCAATTAGGAGGGAATTGAATAGTGTTTGTAAATGTTAGTATTTTCCTGCCATGGTAGTGACCAAAGAAACATGAGAGTACCATGGTATTTTTTCATTGTACTAACCATGGTAAATTTTTGTAAGGAACAGTATTGATATCTACCAAATTGTGAAAGAAATTAGCAAAGAAAAAAGAGCATCTCAATAATTGAGCTTGTTCTATGTTCACTGAGGTCAGACTTACATGACATTTACAAACACTATTCAATACCATTGTATTTTCCTGCCATGGTAGTGACCTAAAAAACATATATTTTTTCATTGTATACTGAACAAAAATATAAACGCAACATGTTAAGTGTTGGTCCCATGTTTCATGAGCTGAAATAAAAGATCCCAGAAATGTTCCATACGCACAAAAAGCTTATTTTTCTCAAATTTTGTTTACATCCTGGTTAGTGAGCATTTCTCCTTTGCCAAGATAATCCATCCACCTGACAGGTGTGGCATATCAAGAAGCTGATTAAATAGCATGATCATTACACAGGTGCACCTTGTGCTGGGGACAATAAAAGGCCACTCTAAAATGTGCAGTTTTGTCACACAACACAGTGCCACAGATGTCTCAAGTTTTGAGGGAGCGTGCAATTGGCATGCTGACTGCAGGATTATCCACCAGAGCTGTTGCCAGATAATTGAATATTCATTTCTCTACTATAAGCCGCCTCCAACGTCATTTTAGAGAATTTGGCAATACGTCCAACCGGCCTCACAATCGCACACCACGTGTATGGCGTCGTGTGGGCGAGCGGTTTGCTGATGTCAACGTTGTGAACAGAGTGTCCCAAGGTGGCGGTAGGGTTATGATATGGGCAGGCATAAGCTAAGGACAACGAAAACAATTACATTTTATCAATGGCTATTTGAATGCACAGAGATACCGTGACGAGATCCTGAGGCCTTGTCGTGCCATTCATCCGCCGCCATCACCTCATGTTTCAGCATTGTAATGCACGGCCCCATGTCTTAAGGATCTGTACACAATTCCAGTTCCCGCCAATATCCAGCAACTTCGCACAGCCATTGAAGAAGAGTGGAACAACATTCCACAGGCCACAATCAACAGCCTGATCAACTCTATACGAAGATGTGTCACACTGCATGAGGCAAATGGTGGTCACACCAGATCCTGACTGGTTTTCTGATCCACGCCCCTACCTGTTTTTTTTAAGGTATCTGTGACTAACAGATGCATATCTGTATTCCCAGTCATGTGAAATCCATAGATTAGGGCCTAATTTATTTATTTCAATTGACTGATTTCCTTACATGAACTGTAACTCAGTAAAATGTACTCCTGAGTGGCGCAGTGGTCTAAGGCACTGCATCGCAGTGCTAACTGTGCCACTAGAGACCTGGTTCGAATCCAGGCTCTTCCAGCCGGCGCGACCGGGAGACTCATGGTGCGGCGCACAATTGGCCCAGCGTCGTCCAGGTAGGGAGGAATGCACGAAGGATGTAGCTCAGTTGATAGAGCATGGCGTTTGGCACGCCAGGGTTTGGGTTTGATCCACGGGGGCCAGTATGAAAAAAAAAAAAAAATGTATTCACTAACTGTAAGTCGCTCTGGATAAGAGCGTCTGCTAAATGACTAAAATGTAAATGTAAAATCTTTGACATTGTTGCATGTTGCGTTTATATTTTTGTTCAGTATACTAGCTACCATGGTACAAAAATGAACTATGGTAGTACAATGAAAATGAATACCATGGTTTTGTGCTAACAGCATGTAGTGAAACATGAAA